AACTTACAGATTGGCTAAATATTTAGCTAAAATATTATCAACACTCAAGAGGACACACAATAGCACACACTAAGGATTCATACCATTTTGTCAGTAAGATAAAAGACCTACGTTTTACTGACAATGAAACCATGGTCAGTTTTGATGTTCAGTCTCTATTTACATGCCTACCCGTTGAAGACTGCATCTCAATTATAACTAGGAAACTATAGGAAAATAACATTCCAGCAGAATATGCAGTATTACTCAGATATTGCCTTACATCTGGCTATCTATTGTGGAAGGAAGAGTTTTACAAGCAAGTAAATGGTGTTGCGATGGGGTCACCTATATCTCCCATTGTCGCCGATATATTCATGGAATACTTTGAGGAGAAAGCCCTCCTTACTGCACCTGTTACACCAAGGATCTACAAGCGGTACATAGACGATACTTTCACAATATTACCATCAGACAAAGTAACTGCATTTTTAGAACATCTTAATTCCATGGACTCTAAAATTCAATTTATTATGGAGTTAGAGGAAAATAATTCCTTACCTTTCCTAGATGTGTTAGTCATCCGAAATCCTAACAACACCATTGGTCACACTGTGTACAGGAAAAAGACCCATACAAACCGATATTTAAACAGTGAATCTCACCACCATCCTTCACAGTTAGCTAGCGTGGGCAAATCTTTGTTACAGAGAGCGCGAGGGATCTATGACAGCAAACACCTGGCCGCCGAGCTTCAGCACGTCAAGCAAGTTCTGCACGACAACAAGCTTCGGATCCCGCGCCTACGTCACAGTGACCGAGTGAAGCCGGCCACAATCGAGCGTGTGCCTGCTGTACCACCATATGTCAGAGGTGTCACAGACAAGATTGGCTACATCTTGAAGCGAGCTTCTATTAGAACATTCTACAAGCCGCTGAAGAAGATTAGTCAGTTCCTACCATCCGTCAAGTGTCATATTCCTCTACAAGATGCAGGAGTATACAAGCTTGATTGTGAATTTGGTCTCTCTTATATAGGACAAACAAAAAGATCAATTAGAACCCGCGTAAAAGAACATATAGCTGATGTGAAGCATCAACGTTCCGGGAAGTCTGCATTTTGTGATCATATCCTAGACGGTCCCAACCATTACATCAGATTTGATAGACCACAAATCCTCACGAAAGAACACCGATTCCTACCAAGGAAACGTGAGGCTTTTGTAATTAAAAAAACATCCTAATTTCAATATAGAAGGAGGCTGGGTACTACCACCTGCTTGGGATCCTAATTAAAAAAGCTGAAGGTACTCCGGGTTTAACAATGACATCGGGACGTCCGTCACCTCAGTCCCCCGTGACCATGGGTGCTGGAAAGCGCCCGAAACGTCGGGAATTAAAAACAAAAGTAATTAAAAGTAAAATAAACGCGATAAAATCCGTAAAAGTAGTTTTAATCAATGTGTAGTGTTCGCGTAAATATAAGAAATCATTATGTAAACTTCTTGAATACTTTTGCCGACAAACAGCAATGCGTCACTGCTGTGTTCTGGTCTGTAGGATATAGAGAGCGAGTATAATCATATAGGCTGTGAAGCATACCGTCTTAGTCCTTGGAGGTAAAAATGCAAATAAACTTTTTTGTTGAAGTTGTCGTGAAGTTGTTTACAGGTGTCCATCGGCGTCAGTAGCTAGTTGTAATTAGATGGATTGTAAGTTCTTTGTTACTTTAGTCTTAGAATTTTTTTTACAAAAGTTTCAGAGACATCGGATATAGGTTGAAATCTTAAATAATAATAAATTAGGTTTTTACATACTTAATTATATTCTTATGAAATCAATAAATTGCAAGTTATTAGGCTAAAGTAAAGTTACGGCCTCTATACGTTCCACTGCTTGGCGCGGGCCTTAGATCAATGCTACGAGTATATAGCCGGCCCGCTGCCACTTCAGCTTAAAGATTCAACAGAGCTAGAACATAAGACTCCGTTTTGATTAAACATCTTATTTGGTATGTCTTACCACGTTGTCATTCCATCTAGTAGGGGCCACCCTACACTACGCCTACCGGTACGAGGCTGCCACTCGAGAACCTTTTTACCCATCGGTTGTCAGTTCTTCGAGCTACATGGCCGGCCTACTGCCACTTCAGCTTACTAATCCGTTATGCTATGTCAGTGACTCTGGTTCTACTGCGTGTATCCTCATTTCTATGTTTATCATGCAGGAAAACCCTGGAAAGGGCTGTACTGGTGATGATTATTATTATTTGGTAATATCCACTTTACGAGTATAACTACATACCTTTAGGAACTACGCACTTATCCTTAAGGTTAATAACGCATCTCTGGTCTCCTTTATTTGAAATTGGTCGCTGGTGTCCATGAGCTACAGTGACCAAATGCTTCTTAACAACAGATGGGTTGTTGCGCGTTAGTCAGCTTCAGGAAACTATAAAGAATTTTCAGGAATAATGTAAATCGTAAAAAAAATAATGACATTTTAAAACCCGAGAAATAATTCTCCATAATATAAGCATGTGTACACTAGATGCAGAGCAACATGAAAGCTGTGCTTCTACGTACTTAATAAGGGCAATAATTATAACAATTTTTACTGCATGGTGGCGGTATAAGAAAGTCTATTTATTTTGTTACTTAAGTATTCCTGGTGAGAAGTTTTTAATACTTTCCATAGGTAGCGTTACAACTATATCGTTTAGACCGATCAGAAAATACCTTAACCGACGGTGAGGAAGAGTGTTAAGTGCGAGATGTTTGGTACCGTGTTTACCAAGCGCGGTGAGTTCATAACTACCAGTGGACTTTTGAAGAGGAATGCAATTTTTTATTATACTAGTATTAGTTATTATGAATATAAGAAAGGAGATAGAAAAAAGTAAATATTTATTCTTGATATGAGCACAACGTAAACACAGACTTGAGATTATAAATATACAACATTACTTTCAATCAAATCTTTATGAAACTGAAGTGACACAAGAACTTACAATCCACTTATGCAAAGTGACTCCTGCAGTCCAAGGACACTTGTAGCCAACTTCAGACTGAAAAGTTTACGAATGCTTAACCACCAATCAAAGCCTGCAATCATACTAGCTTTCTAAGGAATAAATAAGAGGGTGGTGCCTACCCAGATGGACACCTTAGCAGAAAAGTAGTTTTTTTTTTATAGGATAGGGTGACAAACGAGCACACAGTTCACTTTATGGTAATGGTGGGGCTACATTAGCGGGCTACGGCGAATATTCGGGCTACGGCGATGTATGTGGCCGGGTACATCGTTGCAGCGCGATGTATACGCGTACAGACGATGTAGCATCGCGGCACTGTCAGTAAACTGGCGCGCTTCAAAGGACAATAATCGCTTGAGTGGCCACACCTACGTCACTTCAGTGTCGTCCTGACTTTGAAGCGGGATTGACGTTCTTGTGTTTTTGTACACTATGGAGTGGAGTAACGAAAAGGTGTTAGAGTTCATTCAATTTTATGAAACTGAGAATATTATATGGAATCCTAGGAACCCCGACCACAAAAAGAAACATTTGGTACATGATGCGTGGGTTAGAATTAAAAACAAGCTCAGTTGGCCTACCGCAGTAGAAGAAATGAAGAAGAAAAAAGATTCTTTGATGTCATATTACAGAGCCCATCTCAATAAAATTAAGAAATCGATGAAGTCAGGAGCTGGTGCCGACGACATATACCAGACAAATTGGTTCGCCTTTTCGGCTATGAATAGTTTTCTTCAGCCTATATACGATTGCCGCCGGACTATAGATACGCAGGTTAATAATAACAAAACACGTTTCTTTAATAGGTACATCCTATATTTATACATATTCCACAAGTGTAACTTTATCAAAATAAAAACATACTTTTTATTGATGGAAAAAATGTTGATCAAACTGGTCCCCGATTTGTGTTGGTAAAAGACCGCCCCGTCTAGCTACCGCCGAAAAAGGGCGCAAGGCAGTTTCTTCTGGTTGTTCATTTTGCCATGTACCTGGAACTACTTGTCCATTTATAATAGTGTCTGCAAGACCTGGTGGTATATACATATTGTTTGATGATGAACTGTTTCTTAAGAAGTTGTGTAGTAATATACAAGACATGACAACAATAGAGGCGCGATCTGGTTGAAGTGCGATCGGCTTTCAGAGTACGCGAAATACGGCAGACATAATTCCAAACACATTTTCTGTAACTATACGGGCTTTTGACAGTTGCGTGTTAAATTTTCTTCTAATACTGCTTTCTGGATAATCTCCAGGGTATGGCTTCATTATGTTTGTATGTAAAGGAAACGCGTTGTCCACCACAAATACAAAATGCACGATGATATCAGAACCGGGAAGCGCAGAAGAAGCTGGTAAATTAAGGGCATTTGTCTGTAGATTCCCAAATAATGAGCTGTTTCTGAATACTCCACCGTCACCAATTCGACCTTGGCAACCAACATCTGCATACATGAAGCGATACTTCTTATCTACCAAAGCCATGAGAACAATGCTGAATGTATGCTTGTAATTGTAAAATTCAGTTCCACTGTGAGTCGGTGATAAAATTTGAACATGTTTCCCATCAATGCTTCCAATACAATGTGGAAAGATATCACGAAAATTAGCTTCTTTTCGCAGCCATTCTTCTTCGTTTGCAGGCATCTGAAACAATTTTAATTATTATTTCAGAATGAAAGTGTACAAGAAGAGCATGCCGAGTGTGACGATGAAGATGAAGTAAATACAGTTAGTCGTAATACAGAAGACCCAATTCCCACTAGTTCACTTAACTCAAGAATAACAAATAAGCTAGCAAAAATTAATTTTCCTTCAGAAATATTACATGCGAAGAGACAAATTCAAGAGGCATTTGAGCATGTAAAAAGCAGCGTTAGCGACGAATATGAAATGTTCGGGAAATTGATTGCTAGTAAATTACGAAAAATTAAAAACCCTAATACAAGAGATATTTTTATGAATGATATTCATACTATGATTATTAAAGTATGCATGATAGATCGGGTTGACCGAGCACATCAATATCAATCTCTGATCCATCCATCGCCGTCTCCGTCACCACATAACCAAACTTACCAATCTTCAATCCATCCAACGCCATCTCCGTCACCACAGAACCAAACCTACCAGTCACCGATCCATTCATCACCATCTCCGTTACCACAGAACCAAACTTACGAGTCTTCAATCCATCCAACGCCATCTCCGTCACCACAGAACCAAACCTACCAGTCACCGATCCATTCATCACCATCTCCGTCACCACATAACCAAACTTACAGTCTTCAATCCATCCATCGCCATCTCCGTCACCACAGAACCAAACCTATCAGTCACCGATCCATTGATCACCAACTCCGTCACCACAGAACCAAACTTACCAGTCTTCAATCCATCCATCGCCATCTCCGTCACCACAGAACCAAACCTACCAGTCACCGATCCATTCATCACCATCTCCGTCACCACAGAATCAATCTTACCAGTCCCCGATCCTTCCATCGCAATCTCGGAGACCCTCACAAATTATGATATCGGAGACCGGTGAAATATCATTCATATAGAAATGACGGAGTTTTTTTATTGATTATAATATATGTTTTTTCTTAAAAATTGGATGTCACTTAGGCACTTATATTGAAATAAAACTAAACTGTGAGTAAAATAATGTATTTTTCTTACCTTAATCTCGTCTTTCAAAACGATCAAGAGACTTGCACAAACATCACTTTGGAAATTATTTTGGAAATGAGTTGATGAGATATTTTGAAAAGATAATGAAGGCTTCGAAAATTATCTCCTGTCGCTAGATAACGTGGTGTTATTGCCAATCGCACCTTTGTAGGAATTGCTTTTCTGAGTTTCGTATCTTTTTTGGTGATAAGTGGTGCGAGTTCCTGTAGTGGTATTTCAAAGTCAGATGTCGACATACGTAAAAATTCAGAGAATTCTATGCCAGACTCTAAGGTTAGCTCAGTTAACATACTTTCCATTCCTGTTCTATAAACGAGAAAGTAAAGTAAAATTATTATACTCACGCCTCTAAAGTCTCACCACAAAATACTTAATGTCTCGCGCATAAAAAGTCAAAATATGAACAATAAATCAAGTCTACCCATTATTTTAGCAATTGTGCTGTGCACTTACATCGTTCGCTTTCTGTGAATAGTAGTCATCCACCATCTCCTCTTTTTTATATTATTTCGCTGATATTCGTACAAATGTAATAAATAATAATTTACTGACATATAATACAAAGCCACTGCTTCCTTCATCGTCTTGGCTGCACAACTAAACAACGAATATTCGCCGTAGGCCGCTTGCTGAATCTTCGCCCGCCAATGTAGATAAGAACATCGTGTATGTCCGACAACGGATGTTTTGCGCACATTGATGCAATTATTGCGATTGGTGCGAAATCGATACGAATTTTCGCCCGCTAATGTAGCCTCAGCATAAGTGGATGCTGTGGTAATTAACAGCATTTTTCTGATAACAACTCAATAAAAACACTGCGGTTCTTAACTCGCCTCCTAAGCATGGTAACTATAAGAACATTTTTATAGTATATTGTAGATACTGTGGCCCATAGACATCTACATCTATCCTCGATTACGAATCAAAATGCAGATGCGTTGTCACCCGTGAGGACTAAGATAGAATGCCTAGTTTCCAGTTAAAAGGGTCTCCGGTTCTCTACACTCACCATACGAAATACAATAGCATTAAGCTACTATTTTACGCTGGTATTCTGTGAGAGGGTGGTCCTTTCCCGGTCAAGCCGACCCATTTGTGCTACAACTATACTTCTAATATAATTGCAGCATGGCTCTATCACGTATAAAAGTGCTAGCACGTAGTAAAATTGAGTTAAGTCATAAGTAATCAAGTTATAGCCGATTCTTTCTTTTTATCGACAGAAATAGGTATGAAGATGGTACCCATTCAGACGGACTCCTATGCAGTAAATAAATCCTACCATCTAGTGTCAACCGTCTCTTTCGAGCATTCGTAAATATATATCTTCAATAGCTTGTTTTTAACAGTGTGTACATTCCTAAGGCTTTTCTCTTAATCGTAAGTTACGATAGTTGTTTACATAAGATGTTATTAAATATCTTCCTCGATAGACAGTTTAAATCAGTTCTGTGTTGGAATGCCGAGTGTTACAAAGGTCTTGTATATGACCTTAAGTGCTTTTGAGGGCTTGGGAATTCGTGGTTTAAGAAAACGTGAGAATGGACAAAAAATAAAAGATTTTTTTTACATTCTTTATTTCTTAAAAAAAATTGCGTTTTATTTAAAAAAGGAAGCTTGTAGCCATCAAGATGACAATCATATATCAAGTCATCTCGACTGTAATTGGTAATGTTTGGAATTACATAATATTCTTATCATTTCGTGTTTTAATAATAGCTTAGAGAACTATTTCTTATAATATTTCATAAAAAAAAACTACTTAGATTGCATACTATGGAAACTATTATTACTCATGTAAGATTACGGAAATACATGCTATACACATACTCGTTCTGTACATGTAAAGCTATTGTTAGCGAGTCGTTCATTCTGAAATTTAAGGAAATTTCAGGGCAGAAAACAACCTGTATTATACGTGATAAGCTGCACATTATTATAGTTGTAGCACTAATAGTTTGGCTCGACCGGAGAAGGACAACCTTCTCACAGAAGACCTAGAAATAGAAGCTTGATGCTGTGATTTGTATAGTGAGTGTAGGAAACGGAAAACCCTTTCCACACGAAACAAAAAATTTCATCCTAGTCATAAAAGGTGAAAACATATCTGCATTTAGTTTGTTAATCGAGAATAGATGCTCTTACCATTAGATGGGTTGGGTCAGTCGAATAGAATAGAATAATTTTTTATTCAATGTAATATATATATGTAATTATATGTAATTCTCATTGAAAGACATTTTTTAACTTACCACTGATTTGGAAAAACCTCTGTCCTGGGAAGAACCATCAAAAATCCCACCCAAACTGTTTACAAAATTTAGTTTAGAAACAGCTTGGCACCAACCACCTTATTCCCAGGGGTTATTAACAACCATTTATATTATATCAGTCGAGGGATACTCATCCCAATTTACCTGTCCGGTAGTTGTGGTATGAAGGAGTTCTGGGTATGTTTGGGGACGAGAGAGTGAATGACAATGGGAGGAGCCTGCTTGAAGTGTGCTTGGAATGGAATCTGTGCGTGACCAACACAATGTTTGACCACAAAAAGATCCATCTGTATACAAGAGATGAGGGTGAGTCTAGAAGTATGATTGATTTTGTAATTGTGGATGAAAGTCTGAAGAAGAAAGTGCTAGACACTCGGGCATACCGCGGTGTAGGCCTCGACACAGACCACTTTCTGGTCATAGCCCGAATGCGTGGCCTCTTTAAACGGTGGCGACACCGAGTGGCCGAGCCTACGAGTGTTTTCGACAGAGTAAAAGTGGAAATGCTACAAGAAAAAGAAAAGAAAGACGAGTATGTAGAGAAACTGAAAGAAAGTTTTAAAGGGATAGAAAAGATAGGAGTGATTGAAGATTTGTGGGAGACATTTAAGAAAGGGGTTGTAAATGTTGCGATTGAGGTATGCGGGGTAGCTAAAAGAAGGAAAGGGAGAAAGATTGATAACGTGTGGATGGATAAAGATGTACAACGGGTTGTGCAAGAAAAGAAGAAAGCGTGGTTGGATTGGTTAGCAACAAAAGCTAACCAAAAAGTTCAAAAGGCAACGGATGACGAGATAAAGGAAGCAAGAACGAAGTATAAAAGATTGAAAACAGCAGCGAAAGAAACTGTGTCTAGAAAGAAAGAAGAACGAAAAGATGATTTCGATAGGAGGCTCACTGAAGATTTCCAGTCAAACATTAAGTTTTTTCTGGAAAACCATCAAAACAGCCAGAGGAAAAACTTCTACCTCGGAGCTGAGTACAATCAGGAGTCAAGATGGGAGCATTATAAAAGGAGAAGAATGTGTGTTAAAGAGATGGAAAGAGTATTTTGAAAGTTTGTTTGAAAGAGAGGAAGTGCAGGTACAGCATCTGCCACCTTCCACGGAAACGAATATAAATGTTGATGAAAATGAGATAAGCATGGATGAAATAGTGAAAGCGTTGAAAAGTATGAGATTAGGTAAGGCTGCAGGGTATGACAGGATTACCGTCGAGATGCTGAGGGCTGGACAGGGCCTGGTGGCTAGTTAGCTGTACCGCCTTTTCAATCTGTGCTGGCGAAATGGGCAAGTGCCGGGAGACTGGTGCAAAGCCGTAATCGTGCCATTGTATAAGGAAAAAGGGTCACGGCAGGACTGCATAAATTACCGTGGTATAAGCCTTCTTAGCGTCGTCGGTAAATTGTATGCGTAAGTGTTGATTGAAAGGGTTGTGAATGAAACAGACGAGAAAATATGGGATGCACAAGCGGGATTTGGAAAGGGAATGGGATGTACGGATCAGGTCTTTTCCTTGCGGTGCATAGCCGAAAAGTGTTTGGCTAAAAACAAGAAAGTCTACTGCGCCTTCGTAGATCTAGAAAAGGCCTATGATAGAGTGGTGAGGAATGAATTGTGGTCAGCACTGTCCATGAACGGTGTGAGCAGTGTCCTCATACGAGCATTGCAATCTCTTTATAGGGATTCTAGTGCTTGTGTAAGGATAAACGGGGCATACACTGAATGGTTTAGTATCGAAAAAGGTGTTAGACAGGGATGTGTAGCGTCACCGTGGCTGTTTAATCTGTTCATGGAAAATTGTTTGAAAGATTTAAAAGAGAATGAAAGTGGGTTGAGAATGAATGAGTTACTCGTCAAATGTTTTCTCTATGCTGATGACCAAGTATTACTTGCGTCTTCGGCCGAGGAGTTGCAGGAGATGGTAACTGCTATGAGTGGAGCTTTTGTTAGAAAGGGAATGAAGATGAATGTAAGGAAGACGAAAGTGATGGTATTTGAAAAAGATGAGGCAGTGACAGACTGCAATATCGTGATTGAAGATGAACAAATTGAACAGGTGAAAGAGTTTGTGTATCTGGGGTCAAAGTTTACAAGAGATGGAAAGTGTGAGAGTGATATCGAAAGAAGAGTGAATGCAGGAAACATGGTGAATGGAGCCTTGCACTCCTTAATGAGCAGTCGGAAAGTGTCTAACAAGGCTCGTTTGGCTGTGCATGAGGGGGTGTTGGTTCCGACACTCATGTACGGAAGTAAAAGTTGGGTATGGCAGAAGAAACATGAAAGTAGAATAAATGCAGTTGAGATGAGAGCATTAAGAAGTATGATAGGAGTTAAACTGAGTGACACGATAAGAAATAGTGAGATAAGGAAACGTTGTGGTCTGAAAGAAGATGTAGTGACAAAAATTGAGAAAGGTATGCTGAGATGGTTTGGCCACATCGAAAGAATGAATGAAGAACGATTGACGAAAAAAGTGTATAAGGCGAGTGTGAATGGAAGTGGTGGAAGGGGTAGACCTAGGCGGACTTTTCTAGACCAAATTAGGGACGTCTTGAAAAAAGGCCAGGTTAAGAGTACCCTAAACCGTAGAGCATGTATGAAGGGAATAATGAAAGTAGACGAAGCGAAAAAAGTATGTAAGGATCGTAGCAAGTGGAAAGAAGTGGTCTCTGCCTACCCCTACGGGAAAGAGGCGTGATTATATGTATGTATGTATGTATTTATATTATAATAAAACTTTTTATATTTTTTGTTTAATTAAAATGTTATTTAAACTTGGTAATAGAGAGACCTTGTATATTTTCTGGGACTTTGTCTTAATAGCGTATACCTAGGTAGATTGAAAAGTACTCGGCCTAACACAGATCCATTCAATTCTAAAAATCAAATCTACCCACATTATTTAGTTCAGTTCAGACTAGTTCATTTTGTGAAGTTCGAAACGTGTGCGATAATTAGTTGTGATTTTATAAATTTATTAACAAAGTAATCGGACATAATTTCCGCGAATGGAGCAAATCG